CTTATCAACAACTGGGCTCTGTGGGCAGCCCCCGCCATAGGGAACATCCTAATGAGCAGAAAATAACCTAGTGTTGTAGCCCAGGAGTAAGATTCCTTGCTCTCATCCAGGATATGGAAAAGCTGAGATTAGGAATCCCCCATCTAGGGAGACCTTCTGAAGCAACTGCTCCACCCAAGATGGAAGGTGACCTCCACAACCCAGCAGTGCCTCTGTCCCCTTTGCACAAGGAGCTGGTTCTGGACTCTCTTCTGACTCAGGAAAATTCACCTGCAGTTTAGTGGACATTTCTCCTTATATACATATTTTTTGTAGGCAATTTGGCCTCATATGCACATTCTTGCAAGCCATTCCCCACAATTTAATACATTTTGGTATGCCCAAATAGATTGTTGTTGTTGTTATCCCACCTTTTCCACCAAGGAGCTCAAAGTGCTGTACATTGGGTCTTCCTATCCTTATTTCAGCCTCACAACAACCGTTGAAGGTGGGTTAGGCTGGGAGGCAGTGACTGGCCCAAGGTCACACCCAATGAGCTTCATGACAAATTGAGGATTTGAACCCTGGTCTTCCAAGCCTTAGTCTGAATCTCTAACCACTACACCACACTGGATGACTGTTGCATGCACTTCAATCTCCATGTAGCGAGAGACTCCAGAAGTTCCTGTGCTTACCCAGGGATCAGTTACCAGATGAAAGTTAGTGGAGACTGTGGTGTCTTTAGGATGCCCGGTTTTATTCACACATATATACAACCTGAGCCTAGAGGTGCTTAAAGCATTTACCCCACAACAGACCTTGCCTCCTCATTAGGTTTTCAGGGAAATCCCCAAGCCATAATTTGAGGTCCAGCATAGGGCAAGACAAACCTTGAAACATCAGCCAAAACTCTCACACCAAAACTAACTCCTCAGATTATTATTCTCCTTCCCAGGATAAGGTGGCATCCAGCCAGCTCAGGTGGTTAAAGGCCCATCCATTTGTCTCTATGGCAACAGGGCAACCTTTTTGGATATTTAAATGGCAGCACTTAACTGACCAGCTGAGGCCATTATCTTACAAAGTAAGTGGACTGCTTTCTGCAGGTTCCCTCTCAAAGCTTTTAACATCTCACACACAGGATCATAGGTTTGGAAGGGATCCCTGGATGCCATCCAGACTGACCCCCAAACCCATAACACCATATATTTTGGAGAACTGCATTTCAAATTTTGGAGAATTCTGAATTTCGAAGGATGGCTGTTTGTTTCCATTCATATATTGATTCAGGAAATACAGATTAGGTAGAATCACAATAAAATGTGAATGGAAGCTGCTGTATGCTGAGTTCATCCTGCAACATCTACACCGACTGCCAGTGGCTGTTCAGGGTTTGCGGGAGCAGACATTCAGATGCTCCATCATGGAGTTATGTCTCCTCCTGATCTGGATCAGAACAGATCCAGGTCCACCAAGCTCTGCATTGTTTGCAAGAATCCCAGCAACAAATCAGCTGAGGAATTGAGAACTTGGTGTCCTGAAGATGTTGATGGACTGAAACTCCCATTTCCCCCGATTATTGGCCCTGGTGGCTGGGGCTGATGGGAGTTGTAGTTCAAAATAGCTTGAGAAAGGCCTGTCAATGGAATGTGGATGGGAATGGAACTGTGCAATTGCCCAGGAAGTTGCTCCGATGCTTGTGGCTGTTTCTTTTCAACTCTTTGGTGATGCTGAATTGTAGAATTTACGCCCATCATTTAAATGATAACTAATCAGAGGCAGCTACAGTTGCAAATGGAAACAAAATATCTGTGAAAGGAAGAGGAGCAGGTTTGCTCGTGTGTTGCAGGTAGAAATACTGTTTGTAATGAAGTGAGAGCAGTACTTTACTTGCTCAAATTAACAAATAAGAAAGTTTTGAAAATTTAAATTCTAGATTAAAATTGATTACTTAATTGAGAAGGGGATTGTAACAAAGACACTGGGGCCTAATTTGAATAGTAGAGTGCCTGGTATCTGGTGGGCAATCTCCTCCTTTATTTCCACACTGTAGCTGCAGACCAAATCACCTGTCAGGAGAGTTATGAGATTCAGGTGAGGGTCAGATGCCTTGTCAATCTCAGCAGGTATATAAGAGGCCTTTGCTCTGGCCAGGCTTTCAGGTTTTTTAAGAATAACATTACAACTTCATTTTCCTAAAAAATAATGCTTGTAAACAAAAGGTTTACAAAGTTCAGTTATTGCAAAAGTTTTTCAGTGTTAATTTTATGCGTTTTTAAAAATCACCTTGGTATTTAACAATAATATCTTATGTCCTTTAGAGGAGAAATTGTGAATTGCAGAATTTTAAATACCCGTCATCATCCTTGGCTTCACTCAATTTTGATTATAACACTCTTCCATTTTCTTCTAGTTGTGAGGGTGGGGAATGGGGAGGGGCCTCAGAAGTGGAGTAGCCTAGGGCCTCTCTTCATCTAAATCCGGCCCTGCCCATCCCCATAAGCCTTTCAACTCATGTACTAATGGATTTGACAGGGGTGGGGTGGGGTGAAAAGTAACAATCCACTATTGTTGCACAGAGAATGATGAATGGCTGTATGGCTGGGCTAACAAAGGAGGTGGATTATTGGGTTATAAATCAATTGAGTGATTCTGGAGAAACTGCAAGGCCCATGGACTGAATGCAAAGATGGTGGTGGGGAGAATCTGTATATTTTTGGAGCTGTTGGGGGCTACCTCCCCCATCTTTTATTTTGCCTGTTTGTATTGTCTGCCAGTCAGTGCAGACAATACTGGGCTTGATTGACCAGTGCTTTGCCTCCATATAAGACAGCTTCCCATATTCCCTGCTGAATGTTTCCCTGGTCCTGAATGGGGTAACTGTGCCCCTGAAGGACCAGGCGCACAGCCTGGGAGTCATTTTGGACTCACAGCTGTCCATGGAGGCACAGGTCAAATCTGTGTCCAGGGCAGATGTTTACCAGCTCCATCTGGTATGCAGGCTGAGACCCTACCTGCCTGCAGACTGCCTAGCCAGAGTGGCGCATGCTCTGGTTATCTCTCGCTTGGACTACTGCAATGCGCTCTATGTGGGGCTACCTTTGAAGGTGACCCGGAAACTACAACTAATCCAGAATGTGGTAGCTAGACTGGTGACTGGGAGTGGCTGCCGAGACCATATAACACCAGTCTTGAAAGACCTGCATTGGCTCCCAGTACATTTCCGAGCACAATTCAAAGTGTTGGTGCTGACCTTTGAAGCCCTAAACGGACTCAGTCCAGTATATCTGAAGGAACGTCTCCACCCCCATTGTTCTACCCAGACACTGAGGTCCAGCACTGAGGGCCTTCTGGCGGTTCCCTCACGGCGAGAAGCCAAGTTACAGGGAACCAGGCAGAGGGCCTTTTCGGTAGTGGCGCCCTCCCACCAGATG